TTTTTTCTTTATTTTCTTCACCTTGTTTAAAGAATCCTCTTACAACAATTACTGCCTTTTCTTCTTCTTCGTACCAAGTCACCTTTCCACCATCACTCTTCTTTTCAAACAGATAGGCCCCACCCCTAATGAAGTACGCAACCACTGGGATTCGTTCTGCATTGTAGTGCAACAGTTGGTAGAGGAGGAATGAACCAGCTGCAAAGGACTTGCCAATTCCAGGCGTTCCAATTAACACATATGGAGTGAGTTTCTTCTTAGCATCCACATGATTGCCAAAATACTCATCCATATCCTTTAGAATTTTATACCATACACGCATCACCTCCTTGTTAACATAAATATCACAGCTCTTCCTCATACTGAACTCTGTGCATGACCATCCTTTCTTGGAGGTAAGCAGCATCAACTCCAGACGTCCATCCTCGGGTTTCTCATTATCATTATCGTCCTCTACAGAACCCTTCCTCACCTCATCATCTGTCCACGGTTGCGGTGGATGGCCTTCTTTCACTTGCATACCGAATCCCTCACCATCAACACCCTCCACATAGTGCCATGTCGCATTATACAGAGATTCATATACACCTTCCACTACCACAGATGTGGCATTCTGAGAAACAAACATCTGCTTCCCCTTTGCAATATTAAGAGCTCCATCCAACTTTCCCCTTGCCATTAAAAGAATACTCTCCTTCTCTGTAAATTCATCCCATTGCTGGAGAGAGTAAACTCCTGCTTTTTCAAGATTGTTTGCAACCTCGTTCAGATTGTTTGCAGCCTCTATTCTCTTGTAGGTGGGCAATGCAGTAATATGATCCCTTAGTTCTTTATCCTGAATATACATATCCGGTTGTACGGCAAATGCCTCCATGGTAACATTCTCATTGGAATCAACAACACCCCTGCCACCCACATTATTGCGGAGGAAATCATTTAGTTTAGGTGTCTCCACCAGTACTTCCCTGACTCTACTGTTCAATGTCCACTTGGGTTGAGGTACAACTTCCACTCTTGCACGTACCGCTGGCGGTTGATCAGGATCATTTTCTCCTTCTCTTCTTGACATCACTTCACCATGCGTGTGTTCCACACTTGTCAAATCTTCCTCTTCGTTACTCGCATGGACATTCATTCTTTTTCTCCTTCTCTTGTTAATCTTTTTTTTTTTTTACTACTCACACACTTCTGCAATACCAAAACAAAAAGAAAAAGAAAAGAGAGAAAATGGATGAAATGTCTGTAAAACTACACAGGAAACAATTTGCACTGAGTGACACACACACAAACACACAATCTACAAGAATACGAGACTCATGTTACCAAGAGAAAGCAATTTGTATGTACACTGCATCTAACTCAGAATATGCAGCAGGGGTTTCCATTCAGTGTCATTGCACAGTGATTTACTCCCTACCGTCTGTTATCCTGCAAGATAAGGGTCATCCTCATGCACAATGAGTTGTGTTCACTCCAGTATCAATACTCAATCAGCAGTGAAGAAGACTCCTTTATTCACCACAACGCAGATATCAAGCACATGTTCATGTTTGTGTGGTCACAGAATGCGTGCAACACCACTATCCACTGAGGAACACCACTGCAATGCATCCCACAAACACAGTTTCATTCTTTTATTTTTGTATTGTTTTGATTTCATCCACATCATTCCAACTGGTTGTCCAGTTCATTTTTCTTTGACACTGCTTTCTTTTCTGTTCTGTATTAAAAGCAGCAACAAAGAAACAATCCCATTCTCTTTCCATCATGCAGCAAAAATGTTAACACTAACAAAGGGTCTCTTGGTGAGGTCCACCATCTCCCCTCCTTTCCCCTTCAGGCACTAGAGAAAACCACTGCAAGAGAGGCGACAGTGCAACAGACAACACACACTTTCGTCTCTGCGTTGCCTCAATACTACTCCTCTCATCATCATCACCATCAGTCTGCAATAAAGTGAAAAGGAACAACAACACTGACTATTCACAAAAAGAGGAACATAAACTTTATTTTATTTTGCATCACACCCTGCGTGCAAGAAAACACAACCCAAGTGAAAAATAAAAACTACACCAAAGGAGTTACACCATCGTAGAGCAGCAACTAGAAGGTAATAAAACCACAGTCATAGCTCACCACAAAAAAAAACCCTGAAAATATCCCCTGGCAGGAGGCTCCATCTCGTCAAGTTACAACCCTCTCGAGTCAGCAATCCAACCCTGTACAGCAAGAGGAATATATTGGTATAATACACACTGCAATAACTTCTACCAGGTCTTTCAAACCCTAAGAGAAGGAAAAAAAAAAACAAGTAACAGCTTACCAATAGAAAAGGGTTTCTCTTTTCTTTTTTTTCCCTCGTATTCCTCGCAATCATATCCATCATGTCCTCAAGGTCCACCACCAAAGAAGCACACCCAATAAGAAAAGAAATGCTCACTCACCAACAACATTGTCAATCAAGCAGTTCAATTATCCAATAACGACAGAACACATTAACACAACATTGGAATTCCTTACACCAACGTCTCTTTAAAGGCATCAAAGGGAGACAACCAACAACACACAACCAAATGCTTGAGTGGACACGACCCTCTGCAGAAAATTCATTATATTCAAACTCGGTAACTCTGTGGATTGAGTACCACCTGCTTGGAGAGAAAGCATTATGAAATATCTCAACACTTCCCTGGGTTGTGTTGCAGTGCTTTGTAGCGTGAATACCATTCTCCACACTATTGTCTCCCTCAGACGCACACTTTTTTTTTTCAAATATTTATGCTTGATAACCATTCAAAAAGATGTGTCCTCCCCTCTCACAAAGTCCATTGCATGGCCGAACACCATTAAAACGAGACAATGGATCACAAGGAATGCTCTGTTCAAATATAGTCATAACCCTGAAAATGTGAAAAAAACAATGTCTACAACACGGATACATCACGTTTCTTTTCTTTTTCCCTTTTTAAACCTTCGGACATTGCAGCATTTACCCCCCGGCACCTCCCATCATTACGGATATCCCATGAGATTTTCCATTTGCGCACAACGCCATACTGGATCAAGATTGCGCAAACGAGATGCCGCGAACGCGAAATGCTGTAATTGGGCACCCCTTTGGGTGAGCAATAATGTACCTGTTATCATCCGTCTCGCAAAATTCACGTAGCAATGGGAGCAAGATTCATTTCTAAACAGTTACCCCCTTACCGCAAACGAAGAGTGTGACCCAAGGGGGTGGGTTTAGAGGGCAGTGCGATCGTCTGGGTGAGACCCCAGGTGTGCAACGGATGCGTCTGCTCAAATAAATTCTCCTCTTTTATGTTTTGACTTATCGGAAACAAATGGGCGCCAGAGTCCCCCACTTTAAATTTTGAACTTGGACACGGCGCCTTCTTCAAGTAGGGAAAAGAACGGGACGGGGTGCGACAGAATATTGATAGAGAATTGTTTGGACTGTTTGAATGGAGTCATTTTCTTTTTTTTTTTCGCGTGTGTGCGTGGACCCTCGTGCGATATGCATTTCCAATAATGCAGGAATACTTCCCACTCTGTGCAAAGTTATAACTTGAACAAGGTAACGCCTGACAGAGAGTGTGGGCACGTATACGTGGTCAAAAGTATACCGTCAGAGTCAAGAAAATTCTGATTATTTGCTTGCACATTAAAATCCATATCAATGACGATGAGTGTAGATCACTAGAAAGGGTATCCTATCCAACATTCTCCAATCATCCTCCATTTGCGTGAATAACCAACAATAATAATAATAAAACGAGCTCTGCATCAGCAGAAACCACAAGAAGAAATAACCATAAAAATAATATTGGTCACAAACTATTTTCGTAATGTTACAGTATTATTTCTTTCATTTTCCCTCTTAACCCTGTGCCAAATATCTTCCTTGTTGTTTGTGTTGTTTTTCTGTATTATTAATGTTTGGAATTCGCATGCAGAAACAAACTGAGAATTCTTTGCAATATGGGGTGTGTCCACTCACTTTATTTCACTTCCCTCTTCGCCCCAGCACCGTAGCGCAGACTCCTATTAAGTATTTTCCGCAACGCTGGTAAATTAACGTGGGGAGTTCACGATTTCATCGACCCTAGGAAAAATACATACAGTTGGGAGTAAATACCCACACATAATTCTGGAGAATGCTGCAGCGTCGTAGAAAGAGAATGGCAATTTCACCAGGTCTCATGCAATCACTAGAATTGCACCACCTTTTCTGTGACAACTTGTAGGTGAGAGAAAAAAGAATAGAGAAACGAAAAAAAAAGAATAAAGGCAACAACAAACAAAACACCCCTAGAGCAAGAAATAATGGCAATATTTGTAAGAAAGTAAAAAAAAGAGAAACAAATATTTTTGACCTTATCTTAGCACACCCTGCATTCCCCACCCCGTTTTCACAAATACATCCCAATAATTTTTCCGGTGGTTTTTACCAAATAAAAAACAGAACTGACGAAACGCAAGTGCTGAGAAGTCCTTTTAACCCGCCTTTCGTTCGAGAGAGTGTGGGTTCGGTTGGGTGGATCCCCCAAAAGCTACGTTTGCAGTCTGTAAAATGAACAAAAATAAATTTGCATAATAAATAATAAGATTCTACCATTATTTTCACAAGATATCAGGAAAAAAAATAATGCGTTTTATCAATTAAATTCATTTTCTGTTTTTTTTTTTTTCCTTCTACCCTGGTCTCTCCATAAAAAAATTGCTGAAAAGTCCCTACATTGACTCATCAAATAAACATAAAAATAAAAGTAAAAAGGAAATATATATTCACTATCTCTCCCCTTAAAGATGTGAGGGAAAAAGGGAATATTTTTTCATGATGGTACCCACCTCAACGTACCTAGAAAGGTTTTGCACATATCATTACGAAAAATAAGAAACAGAGGGAGTGCACTCACCCACACACCTTTTTTTTTTTTTTTGGCATGCTTTACAAATGTACGATGTCCATACTTTACTTCTGCTCGTACATCAATTAAAAGATAAAAATAAATCAAATGCACATGGTTTCTTCTTTGTCTCTAAGGTTATATATTTTTTGTTACATGTTTACACCTCAAAAAAGAAGCAGCGGTAATACGGTGTGAAGAGTAACTACCAAAAGCATTACCTTAATAAGGTGTGATCCCGCTGTATGCCACGCTGCATCCTCATTCGATTCATGTACAGTATCCATCTCGTAGAAAGAGACTTTGGCCAAGAGTGGTGAGTTTATATTGTAGGAAAAGAGGGCAACTCCAGAATAGTCTCTGGGAACGTAAACACGACCCGTCAGCGACTCCAGGCCACCATCCTTGAAGACCTGAACGATGGTGTCATCCACAAATACTCGCAGTTGTACTCTTGTGCCATTTCCAACGAGAGGAGCTCGGCCGGTCCAGGTTTCGTGGAATCCAGTCGTGCCGGATTTGCTTCGGTCCAGAAGCAGAATGGGTTCCCACACACGACCTGTTGTGGCAGAGTTATTAGCGGCAACAACGTCACCATAGGTGCTCATAAGTGTACAGGTCCACTCAGCCGGGTCTTCTGTTACATTTACCATCGTCCATGCGACACAACGACGATCGCGTTTGCACTCATCAGCGCAAAACGTTTCGTTATTATATACGTACACGGCCAACACCTTTCCTTTTTGGTCAAACCCTGTCCCCATATTTGCAGTCGGAGGCATCGTCACAGCGAATCGAGTGTATGTGTGGTTGTTCTTGTAGCGTACGAGAACACCAAAGGATGGGACGGTGTCTGTGTTCTCCGCTGGTTTGTTAGTGAATCCCTCAGGTATTTCAAAATCCACCACCATTTCATAGTGCAGCGGGGCGTTGGTGTTATACACTTTTACCTCATTCGCCCGGATTTCAACATCACTCGTTGTATTAGAGAGACGCAACTTGGCGAGCTCCGGCATGGGGTAGGTTTTTAACTTTTGGGCAGTGGCATCGTACTCGACGTTACGAGGCATGTCCATTGCACCAGACCACCCACGAGTCTTCATTGCAGCTCCCGTGTCCTCTTCAGGGATCCAACCCCACAAAATAGTGCGTTTGAGAATGGGATCATAATTCTGCTTGGATGCATACCATCTGCCGTAGTCGATGAATGTCCGGCCGCGATCAGAGTACTCGAAGTAGAATGATTTATTTACATAATTCTTCGAGTAGTTACCATACACCCAGTAGTCCTGACCACTGACCATTGTTGACACCTTCAAGTAGTATTCGTCTCCCAGTTTGAAAAAGTCTGGACATTCAAACATGTTATTCAATTCGTACATATCCCCCCAAAGGAAATGTGAGTATCGGAAGTCTGAACGAAAATTGGGATCACTGGTAGCGAAAACAACAACCTGCGGTGTAGGTATACTAGATGGGCCACTAAGGCTGGCTACAAAAGCCACCAGCCACTCTGATGTGTTATCAGGGTTGACCCAGAAGTTCGTGGGGTCACGAAAGTGGTTCAGCCCAATAAGGCCAGGCACATCCTTTTCTGTCAATACAGGATTTGTGGGAAGCTTAACAAACGAGTTGAGTGAACGTTGGCCACCAGATTGAACATCTTCCTTGGGTGGTAAAGCAATGCATTGTCGCTGCACGTCACCATCTGCAGCACACGTATACATCAGCACGGGTGTTCCATCAGCGCCTTGCGTGATGGATCCACTATACGCACCTCTGCGATCGTATTCATTATCGTTCTTTAGTGCAATGCCTTGATCTCGCCACTTCACATAGTCCATCGAGGTGAAGTGGTACCAATTTATACTTCCCCACACCGAGTCGTGCGGGTTGTACTGCATGTACAGGTGCATCTGTTTTGTGACGGGGTCACGGTAAGGTCCGTTGGGGTCGTTGATCCAATTGGCGGGCGGACGCACGTGGAAGCGCGGTTCATGCGACGCGGTAACCGCAATCGCTAGCAGCAACAGCAGCACGCACCATGTAGACGATATAATGCGCATTACTCCTTTCAAGGAGCTTATTGTCTGATTGGTCGTTCTCTCAGATATTCTACCATAAAATAAAAAAAAAAAGATCCAATCAAGCAGGATAGAAAAGAGAAAGAAAATAGCAACAACAACAAGAAACACACACACACACACACAAATAGAGATGGCTGTCAAATATTCAAACTCATTTATCGCGAGTAAATTCATGCCCCAGAGAGTCTTTATTATTGTCACATTACCTTCCCTGATTTATTCCTTTTTTTTTTCTCCTTTTCAAGATGTATCTTTCACTTTTTCCTTCACTGTATAGTTAACATTTCTCTGGTGTCATCCAAGAGACTGTGTACCATTTTGTTGTTACTGTTTTTTTTTTCTCTTAATTAAGTTAAATATGGTTGTGGAATTTAACATTTTAACTTCAATTTTAGAATTTCCCATAAATGTCATTAAAAACTTTGGATTAAAAATAAAATAAAAGGAAATGTGCCCCATGCGCATAAAATAATTATCATTTTGTTTTGTTTCTTTTATTTCGTTTCGTTGAAATTCAAATACTATGAAATATATATGAAAGAAAAAAAACAAAGACACATATGGCGCATATATTATGTAAGCGCGTCCACTCACCCTGGTTCTGTAACACAAGAGAACGGTGCAGAACACAAATTCATTTAATGACGTTTATTGATATAAACAGTCACCAATGGAATCCCCAACTGAATATGTCTCCTATTTTATCATACGTCACCCCAAGAAGAAGAACATATATTGGGATCCTTCTTTTTCTCTTGGTCTGTCGTTGTTCCCCCACCCTCCCAAAATAATAATAATAATAATAATAATAATAATAAAATAAAAATAAATAAATAAATAATAATAATAATTGTACAGAGAATCATTGAACCACGGGGAAAGGAAGAAAACAGAGATAAGGGATTCTGTCCATTACCAAACACCCACAAAGAACAACAAAAGCATTTTCTCCCACCAGATCAAGAAGAAAGAACGGTACGTACATTTCTTTTACCCAAGAACAAAAGAATAAGAGGAAAGCCAAACGTTTTCTCTTTTCCTCATAATGTTTACTATTATTATCATTATATTGCAGAAAGGAGAGTGAAACACCACAGTGAGTCCAAGTGGTTTAACTCATTATCTATAATCATTCGTTACTGTCGAAAAGGAGATGGTAAAAAAAGTCCTTTAGCCAATTTCATTGGTTTCCCTTTGTCAAGCGTCATCGCCTGGGGTTGTCCTCCGTATCTACGCAACTTCATGCAGATTTCAAACAAATATTGAAAAACTCTATTAGTCCTGCCAGCCTCGCCCACCCACACAATTCTATGCATGTTTCTTTTTTTCATAATATTCATAAGCTTGGCGTTTTTTGACGAAAATACACAGAAAATCGAGCATGTGTCTCGTAAAAATAAGCAGGGTCTAGAAAATAACTAGTATCCCTCAGTTGGGAAATCATATATGGCCCAACTTCCCACGCACTTCCTGCAATCTTAACCTCCAGAAGATATTTGAACAGGAACACACTTCAACTGTACATGGGTGAGCCTTCACAACCAATACAGCAGCAGTTAGCAACTTTAATAGTGAACGGAGAGGGCCGTTCCCCAATAAGGGTTTAAGCCATTCTCTTCTCTTGGTATTGCGGTGTGTGTGGTGCAAACTCTGTCCAACCTTGAGGTCCCAACGTCCCACGGCCAAGGGTTGACCATCGTCGATGCATCAATTTTACGAAAAGATAATATAGGAAAATGGGAATTCCTTTCCCACACCCAAATGGCGCACATCATGTACAATGTAGCGTTGCTTTCCTTACCCTTGCACCATGGATAATTAAAAACAAGATGGCCCTCCTCTGGTGCTGACATGTTCTTTTTACCTCAAAGAGAGAGTCTGTGATTCACGATTGG